GCATCAACAGCTATTGGCAGAAATTGAGGCACGAGAGGAGATGTATAATCGGCTGGTACAGCTGGGACAATCACTGCTGCAAGAAGAGAAAATACAGTCAAAAGAGGTAAACAGAAAACAATATCATACCCGAATTTCTACTTATGTGTACAACTTATCAGCACTATTGCAAACACTATTCTGGGTACTACCTGGACCAGAGATGTGACCCCCACCCATCTCAAGGTCATACCTATCTTGGACTTGTTTATGTGTCTTTTCTATACCACTTCATACCATGGGTAGACTGATGTTGGAATCTGGAAGATGCCTGCCAGAACAGAGCTTGGGTTAGTTAAAATGCTTTGCGAGATTTGCAGAGTGACATCATTCAATACGTACTTCCTGATCTGGATTTTTATTAATACTTCCTCTCAAGTTATGGCATCACCTCCATACCAAATGAGACTGGCCAAATGTAAGATCATAAGAATTGCCATTTACTGGGTTAGACCATAGATCCATCTTGCTCGGTATCCTGAGTTGTACAATGGCAAAGTGTGGATGCTGAAAGGGAGAGTGAACTGGGTATGACCAGAGTTTTTTCCACTGTTCCTCTCTCCTTGCAGCCTCCAGCATTCAAGGTCTAGGAAGTTCTGATTCAGAGACTATCCCTAACTCCCATGCTCAATAGCTACCGATACCCCTTTCCCCCAAGAACTTGTCCAATCCCTTTTTGAATCTGGCTAAACTGCCAGCCTCCACATCTTGCGATGATGAGTTCCACACTTTAATTACATGCTGTGTGAAAAGGGCTTCCTTGTGTTAGTTTTAAACTTACTACCTGCTAGTTTCATTTTGTGACCCCTAGCTCTTGTATAGCAACTAATATAATAAAATGCTCAAGCATGAAGACAGAGCTTAAGGAATAAATTATACATTTTACACAGCTCTGAATTTTACTGGAATAAATAAATCTCAATATGTGAAAGGAAGATGAGAAACTAAACTCCAGGGTCCCAGGACAAATAGCCTCTAACATTTCTACAAAACCACCTCTTTTTTACTGTATCTCACACTCCTACAAACCAATAATTGCCAACAAAAGAGCAGCCAAAGCCTGCTGTAGAATGTGCTTGGACAGGCAAGTCTCTACACACACGTCTGCCAGAAAGCAAAACCTTTTCATTATTTATACATGAGATCTTATTGATAAACTTTGATATTCTCTTCAGTGAGCTAGGCCATTTTGTAATAAACTAACACTTACCTAAACTATTGACTACAGCTGCAAAACCTGCATCACCAAATTATGGCTCACAAACTAAATCTCTATACCAGATACATGTGTAAACAACAATGAAATAAATTAGTGGGATAGAACAAATAACAATTCTAGTATGGCTGTCCTCAGACCTGCTTGAATGTCAGTGGATTCTAACCAATTCTCTGTTTATTTAAATAAATCAGAGCAAATCATAATAGTTCAATTAATACAGTGTTGTCCTAACCCTCTTAGGACACCAACTTGTTATTCAGCTCCTTGTGAACTATTTCATTTACTGTGATTCAAGCTAAAGTTAATTCCACATAGACCTTTCTGTGGAGCCAGTGTGCAGATCAAGACAGTCTTGTGTGCACTCATGCACACACACACACGCACACACACGCACTTTTGTACGTTCCCCATTCTGTTTCCAAAAGCCTAAAAAGAGTTCTTGCACTTTAAAAAAAGTGCTGTGCTTTCTTGTTTGAGCAAACTATTTCCCAGGTGCTTATTAAATATTACAATATACACCTTCTGTGACTAGGGAATTTCCCAGTTAGAATAAAAGCTGTGTTAACCAGCATTTTACTAATCAAGATACTCTATTATCTGGCATGTGCATGAAGTATTTCTTGAGCAGGGCCGGGAGGTAGGATATGGGTGGAGGGGGTAAGGGCAGCAGCTCCCCTCTGCAGGCCACACAGACACCACCTAGCCGGCTGGACACCCGGGGGGGGCAGAGTTTGCATGCAGTGGTGGCAGGTGCTGCCAGCACCATCCACCACTCCGTGCTGCCACCACATTAATTCTGATAACCAGAATTTTTAGATACCTGGCACCCTCCTTACCCCACTCATGCCGGATAGCAAAACTTTTACTGTACTTGCCTGTAAGAACTTATATAAAAGACACTTAAAAAGATTAAAAAGTCACTTCTGGTGGAAGCTCTGTGGATTTTTGTATTTCAGATCCAAAATGAATTGAGATACAACATTGTGCATACGTGCTAATACTGATTTAAAGCACTTCCCAATGCTGATGACTAATTTGAGTCCATTTTATTAAACTGATTTTGTCTACCATTTTGATCACAGGTAATGAGGAATCAGGGTTCACTTTTGGAGAAGGAGCCTGAGAAATAGCTACCTTTGTTTATGCTTGGCTTGAACTCCTATGTATGTTCACAAACACATGTCATCACAAGCACTTGTCTATGCATGACATGAGAAATTGCTCTGCTTATCTTTCTGCCTGTATAAAAGTTCTAGAATTTATTTCTGTTCTCCTTTGCTTGATGATTTTGACCATCATGCCAGCTAAGAAATGTACTTACTTGTCCCTTTCTACTGCCTACTTGCCCCTGATCTTATAAAACTTAAGAGCATTTTCCTTTGTTCTTTTAAGATCCAGCAAAAGTTGCAGGCATTGATGAAAGAAAAGGAAAATGTGTACCATCAGTGGCAGCAGAAGAAGGAGTGGCTGGAGAAGATACACCTAGAACAGATGTTCTATAAAGATTATAATCATCTGGAGAAGATTCTGAACTCACAAGAGGTGAGTGAATTATACATCTGGTGCAGGTCTTCCTGCCTAAAACTAACATCCTAAAAAATGTAACTGGAATTATGTAAAGGTCAGATGCACATGGGAATGTTGATTATTGTTATTTGTTATTTTATTACAATAGCAACTAGGACCCCTGGTCATGTAGTAGAACTCCTGTGTGATAACCATTGTACAAACACAGAACTTACTTTCTAAATGTAAAGCAAGAGACTGGATGAATACAAACAGATTGGGAAGCAGAAGGAATCTGTGAGACAGTATTAGTCAACTTAGTTGATAGTTGTCTCAGCACACCGGCAGCCTAATCATTATCAAATTTTTTGTAGGCATCTTGGGGAAGGGGAGACAGTTTCAAGGTGGGACGCCCATGTTCTGCCACCTGTGGTGAGCTGCACCTGATTCTATTTGCCCACCACAACTTGTTGTTCCCAGTACCTCTGGAAGTGGTGCTCCGTGGTTCCTTTATGGGCTCAGGAACAGCTTCCTTTGTGCATCTTCTGTGGGGCTCCTCCTTCCCTACATCTCTGCCCCTTTCTACTCAGGTGTTATGGTGGATCCAGGCAGCGCCTTGATGTAGTTGCAGGTTTCGTTCTTCACATGGTAGCTTGACAAACAAAAGGCATCACAGGGGTCTCACCACAGTCCTGTTGCTCTCCAAAAATTGTAACACAAGAAAAACTTAAAGGAGCTCAGTCTGAGCAGTGAGCAGGGCACTGTTGCCTCCATGCTGAGCTGCTCCATCCTGAGGGGAGGGGGTTGAGGCCCCCCCGCTCCTGTACCCTCCGTCTCCTTTCAGGCCACTTGGCATCTTGTCACTGGTCCTCACCATTCAGCCAGTAGGTCAGATGTACCAAGACCCCAGGGCATCCCATACTGGGTCTGTTCATGTTCTAGTGTCACAACTGTCCCCCATTGGCACACTCTGGGAGCACAACTGCACTGCTGAGGTATGCGGGGTTCATGGACTGCGGGGTATGCGGGGTTCATGAGCCTCCTGGGCTCTCCCTTGTCTAGTGCCTGTAGGGCCCACTGGGCTGCATTTTTCCATACCCACCTGACCTGTAATTTCCCAGGCAGTCCTTCTGCCGCGACGGTGGATAAACTCGCTGACATGTCAGGCCATCCGTGAGTGGGGTTAAGAGGCTCAGCATTGCACCCTGGCTTCAATCCTCCATGGGCTGATGGGCCCCTCTGACTCCATCCGAGTCATCTGGTTTTAGAGTGTGTAGTCAGCTCCCAGCCAGCTGTGGAACTTGTGCCCAGGTTTTCCCAGGTTACCTGAGGCATGTGTATTCTGCTTCCCAGGGCCTGCTAGCTATCAGGGGAAGCATTGGGCTACTTCTGGGGGTGGGGAATGCATCTGGCTCCATTTCTGGTGTCCGGACACATCTTAGCTTTCCCTCAGCCTCCATGCCTGTTTTAAAAACATGGTCTCCAGGCCCATGTCAGTGGGGAGTGGGCCCTCTGGCCACACGGTGTCAGCTGCTTTGCTCATGGCCAAGCCACCTGAGCTGCAGTGCCCAGGTATGCCGGACAGGGGCCTGTCACACAAAAGATTTGAAGACAGATAAGGAGAGAGACCTTCTGTAAATGTCCACAGAGCTTTCTCAAGAGGGAAGGAAAGTATTAGGGAAATCAGAGATGCTTGTTGAAAAATTAAACAAGTGAGTGATAAAAGCTGATGCTGTAGGCTGATCCAAGGTGAGAATCAACCTCTCAGTGCTTGAGTATGACTCAATAGGTAGTGCAGACAAGTAGCTTGAGGTGTCCAACTGGCAGCCGAAGAGCCACAAGAGGCCAGTGAGCGGTTAGTCCGAAGCTCCCAGGCTTCCACCTGGCTGCTGCTCCCCCTATCACTCCAGATGCAGGAGCAACCAGGGTCTCTGGGCTTTCCCTCCAACTTTTGCTTCTTGTTTCTGCCTCAAGCAGTGGCATGGCATAACGCAGCCCATGCTAGTGTGGGAGCATATGGTGCAGTGCAAGCTGGTGAGCTTGGGTGCAGCAGGGAAGGGTGGCACCAGTGGCTCACAATACTGTAGCCTGCTCAGCCCGTGGCTCTTGTTGGTGTGGCCCGTGCAGGGTGCAGCCCACAGCCACATAGAAGTTGGACAGCCCTGAAGTACTTTATGCTTGATGCAATAAAGAAGGGAAACTGGTGGAGTGATGTACAGCAAAGGATTGCAGGGTCAAAGCAACAGGCTAGCAAAAAGATCCTTAGTAACATCAGAATTTTGAATGGATATGAACAGACACTGAGGCAGGATATAAGCACCTAAAATGTGTTTCTTCACTAGCATCAAAAAATTAATGATTTTTCTCCCTCTGACCCTTTCTTGTATGGATAAGAACTATTTAAAATATACTCTTTACTCCCAGCGGCCATTGCTTTGGGCCTAATGGTCCCTACCACAAAACCTGTGGATGCCATTGCAACTGCTGTTGTATATGGTTGCACAAACCAGCAGCTTTGTAGACTGTGCAGGTATGCTGAGGGTTACCATACTGCTGAGGGACTGGCCTGCCAGACAGCTTAATGGGTGAAATCCAGCTGAAGCAGGTAATATCTCAGGCTGGCTTCTCATTTGGAAAAATAGTCATTTTAGGAGATGCTTCTTGCTAAATAAATTTGTGAGACTGGTGGCAGCAGTACAGAAGGGTTCCAGGCTTACATCAGTCTTCAGTTGCAGCTGTGCAAACGCTTCATACGGAGGTGCCAATGGAACTTTCCCAGAGGCAAATATGTAGCAGCCAGCTTCCCCCCAACACATCTGTTTCATGCTGTGCCACATGCATGGAGCTCCACTAGCAAAGTAACCCTGAACTATTAACCCTGGCTTACCCTAAGCTTACCCTGGCTTAAGCCATGTAATAGTGCTTAACCCTTTGGAGTCCATGGGTTTAGAGCCACTGCTTCTCACCACTTGCAGAAAATATATCAGCATTGGGAATTCCCAATGCCTGGTCCTTTTTGGCAAAGACTGCCTGAGCACTAAGTTTGTATTGAAATCTGAAACCAGGACAGTTTCACCTGGTCTCAGGTTTCTTAAGTAAGTGTCTCACAGTTCTACACTGTACATTTTCATTTGTTGTTTAACTAACTAATGACACAGGTTGGAAAATACCTACTTTCATTGCATGACAAGCAACGGATTGATATGCCAGTAAAGCCCCATTAAGAATGACATCAGAAAGCTCAAACATTGGAAGAAGGTTTTATTTAACATCAGTTTTTGTCTACTGTATCTTTTATTGAGTGAAATGATTTTTCATTCCTGATGTATTTACCTGGTTTGTTGTTGGTTACTGTTTTGTAGGGGTGTGCAAAGTGGGCCCTATTCAATTCGGATTTGGCCTGAATCAGGGACAGCAATTCGATTTGTTGATTCAGATCACTGTCCCCGATTCGATACAGCTGAATCCGAATCTGAAGATTCGATGCTGATTCAGAAAATCAGTGATTTGGACATAGACACAGCTTTAAAAGTTTTTTCTACATACCTTGAAGTAGCAGGTGTGGCTCGTGATCACTGCAATGCTGGGGCGCATGGAGCATCCCACAGGAGTGCAGGGGGCCCTCCACATGCGCAGCAGCGAAGTACTTCTGTTAGAAATACTTCTGCTCCACTTCCAGGTCTGCCAGGCAGTGCACTGGGCCCCGCTCCCCCCTCTCTCCCGCACTCCTCTGGCTTGGCAATCAGCCACCGGGG